ATCTCCACCAAACTCATTTATATCTTCGCAAAGTTATATCTGCAATCGATTGTGAATCAAGCTGCTATATTAAAACACAACTTTGTCAGTTATCTGCAAGGGTATTTAATGTTCGGCGTGCCGAAGATAGTCTAGTTTTTTGTTGTTGTTGCTGCTTGTGCCTGGGTTCACAATTGATTGAAATCCCTAAGCGCACACCTTTTTCTTCGTAGCTTTGCTTTGTTTTGTTGTTGTTGTTGTTGTTGTTACAGCTATAGTTGTTGTTGTTGTTGTTGTTGCTATTATTGTTGCTCTTGTTGTTGCTGCTGGCTTAGCTCTGCCACAGAAAACACACAACTTCCGCTTTCTTTGGCAAAAACAATAGAAAGCACATAAATTTATGGTTTCAGCATTGTGCTTTTGACATACAACCATGTGAGGGGGTAAGAGGTTTGGTGGGGCGTGGGGAGGGGGTTGGGTGATAGGGCTATGTTGTAACGTTAAGGGGTTAATATGCCTGCAACCGCAAACGGGTTTCGGATTTGGATTTGGATTTGCCTGGGGCTTGAACTGTGGAGCGGGAAGTGGTGGGCAGCTTGACTAGAGTTGACTTTTCTTATAAATAATTTTACTAAATGGATTTGGTATAAATGCTGACATTAAGCATGTGCAGGCGGGTGTGTGTGTGTAAATACGAGTGTGAGTGTGTGTGTGTGTGTGTCAGTGTGTGTGTGTGTGTGTGCGTCTGGTAGCTGCTTGAACTAATTACCTGCAAATTTATTTTATTTTTGTTGGCAGGCAAATTTTGCTTACGAAATGCAACAATCAAAATTGGCCAAATTGAGAGTTGGCTCTATAACGGTATTTATATACACTTAGTGTGCGTGTGTGCGAGAGTTTGTGTGTGTATGCGAGTGTGTGTGTTGTGTGTTGGGCCAAGTTTAATGGTTTTTTGGGGCATTTTCTTGCAGCTGTTTCGCTTTGTGGTTGCCAGCGCTGTTGTTGTTGCTGTTATTGTTGTTGCTGTTGTTGCTGATGATGTTGTTGTTGTTGTTGTTGCTGCTGTTGCTGTGGCTGTGCGTTTCAAAATTTATGTTTGCTGGCTATGAAAATGAAATGACTGTGGTAAACATTTTAATTAAATCCAAGTTTGGCTTCTGCCTTCGTTACAACAATATATTTTGTTGTCGTTGTTGTTCACTTTGTTGCCCCGCCCACAACTTCGCTCTCGCTCTCCTATTTTATATACATCGGCTTTATTTTTTTTTTTTTTATTCTTATTTTTGTTACTGTAGCAAATAAATTTTAATTTTATTTTGCCGCGTTTTAATTTGTTGTCCACTTTTTTTGCCATCCTTCGTTTGTATAAGTATTTTTTCGTATCCCCTTGCAGCATTGGGGTAGTCTAGTTTTGTCGTGAAGTGTGTACTGCATAGAAGAACACATATTTGACAGCATTTGGGATATATATATTCGCGATTGGTATCCTCTGTCTATTTCTATATAAACTAGTGCGTATTTTTTAAAGCCATCGACACGAATGTTTGCAGAATTGTGACTTCCTTTTAGTAGGAGCACTAAATCATATAGATGTCATACAGGTTTCAGATAATCATTTAACAATTAATTTTAATAAACTTTATTTTATTTAATAATATATTAATCAAGCTTGGCATTAACAAGTTAACTAAACTGTATAGCAAATATCAAAAAAGAAAATCGTGAGCAAAATTAGTCTTAATTTGAAAAACTTTGTAGTTTCTTAAAAAGGAGCTTTACTATTCTCCCCAGCTATACGCAAAGCCATAAACCATATGTCTCGAAGAGTATTTAATTGGCGCCTAAGACCGCATTAATTTCCGTTTCTTTCTTTTATTATGTTTTTCTGTGTTTTTATTCGCATTTACACTTTATGCATGTGCGCATTTATTTTGTTTGCTAGCTCTTCTATTGGCCCTGATGCGGGTTGGCCCGGGGGGTTGGCTGTGGGCAACGCTGACAGCCGGTCAAGTGACAGTTGTCGCTGAAAACACACACACACACACACACACGCGGCTAGAGAGGGTGAGAGGGGGGAGGAGAGCGCGCAAATATGAAATGCAAAACAAACTTTGCAGCTGTCACTCAAAAATGAGCGTCGCAGCGGCCGTCAGCGAACAAAGCGATGCAATGGACATGCCAAGTGCCAAGGGGGCGGTGGGTGGCGGGTGTTGTGGGGCGGTATGACTGTGACAGGGGCTGCGTTGGCGCTGTGCACTGAGAGAAATGTGAAGTAGTTAATTGGGCGGAAAGGTATTTGGGTATGCGAAATGGTTGTCGCTCTATGAAACGAATAGTTCGCAAAAGCAGCATCAGCAGCAGCAACAACAACAACAGCGGCGACAAAGTGGGTTAGAAAGGTAAATGAAAGGTTGACGGACAGTTAATTTCGGGCAGTTGATTGAGTTATGAGCTCTGCACACACTGCAATCGAGTAAAAGAAGGAGACTGGGCGAAGGAGCAGGTGCGTAGGAGTGGAAGGGCAAATGGCGACAAACGCAGCTGTTTGTGGATACACGATTTTCATGTTTTGGATAACGCGTGGGCAATACGGATCTAGATGACATATGTTTGCACTGGACTTACAATTTAAGTGGCAACGTTCTTAAAAGCAGTTGCCCACAAGCGGTCGATGCCAAAAAGAAGTTGCAGAAGAGCCTCACTTGCCTTTAGCTTTTGCGAAGTTGTTGCGTTTTGATAGAGAAAATTGTTGAATTACATTCTGAGCAAATTATTAAGTTATTTTCTATCGATATTAAATTGTTTTTTAACTCTTTAAATGCAAAATTATACGTTTTTAGATACCAAACCTAATTAGCACTAGCTAGTCCAATAAATGCGTGTGGGCAAGCAGAGCCTTAACATTGTTTGTGTTTGTAAGGCTTTAACGTATTTCAAGCATAGTTAAGGTTGTTTTTCTGGTCCAAAGCATTTCCCAAAAAGAGCTTTATACATTTTTAATATAAATTAAATTATTGCTATAAATTAAATATAAATTATTAATTTATAAACTTATAATATATATGATATTATTTATTTTTATATTGAGCATTTTTGTGCATTTTAAATGCATGTTTTGACGACCTTTCCTTTGTTTACAAAACCGAAATCAAACACAATTTTGTCCTCACATCAAATCACATGTTAAGTGTGTAAAATATTTGCGCTGAACCCGAAACAATTAACAAACAATTCTATGAATTATGCTAAGTTAAAATGTTAATTAATTGACAGCTAAAGATAATTTTAATCAATTCTGATATTTGATTGATATAAATCTTGTCAAATGAAGAAGTTGTGAAACATATTGTTTGTCAAACTTTTTTTGAGCCTTAGATATGCAAGTTCATAAATTTGAGTGGCTTTAACAAACCATGGAATGTACACGTCGTATTCGCGTATATCCACTGGCATCTATGCACACACAGTGTGTGTTTAAGTACTGCCACAAAGTGTGGCAAATCGGCGGTGAACTGCAGCGCAATTGCAATTGCCATTTAGCGGGGCGAGAACTCATAAATAAAGCTTAACTCAAAGGCACGCTTGACTTTTTGCTACTTTATAGAAAGTTTATTTGAAATGTTGTGTACACCTGCAGCTAATTGGCAGGTCATTCAATTTCAAATGTCGACCGAGCCGCCCCATTAAAACTTAAAGTGTAGCATGCCACGTAGGGCGCGCGCATTACACATACGACCCGTTGTACAGTGCTGTGCATGTACATGTGTGCATGTGTGTGTGCGCCATCAATTTACATGCCACACACGCATAGCAAGGATACCGGCAATGCAGCAGCACTCTCTGCCCCCTGGCCCACGGCATGCTGCCAGCCAGTTGCCGCTGTTATTTATGGCCAACGAAACTGTCATAAGCAAACAAATTGTTTTTTATTGTTCATAATTATTGTGCATACTTATGTAAATCACGCGACGCATTTCGACTTGTTTTGCGTTGCATGCCACCCGACGCTTCCCCACCCCCACTCTCTCTCTCTCCCTTACAACATTGCTGTTGCTGCCACAAGCGCAACTAGTTGCTGCTGCTGCTGCGTGTTTGTGTGTGTGCGGCAAAAAATCGTTTGTTTTATTGAATTTTTATTGTAGTTTGAATTTATGACGCGACCGCCGCTGCTGCTGCTGCTGCTGCTGCTGCGGCCAAATGCTAGCAGCCAGTCGGACTGGATTAGGGTTTCTTTGCCAGCTTGGCGCAGATGACTTTATCGGCTTTTTGCTGCATTAAATCGCAGCCAAACTGTTAGCTGGGCCCATCAACGGCGGCCCCCACCCTGCACGCCCTTGACAGACTCGCTGTTTGTCTGGCAATTTTGTTGAAATAACTTCAGTTTTGCGTTTGTGTGCGTACGTGCCACTGAAGTGCGCTCGCTGGCTGCCAGATTAGCTCGGCAAAACCGCAGACAACAGCTGCCGTAGCAGCAACCCAGTTGGGGCTTGGGTTGGGCTCCTCGCCGGGCTGCGGGTGGTGGGCTCTGCAAGTGCCAAAGAGGCGGCACGGCATGGATTTTTGGTTGTGTGCTTGTGTGTGTGTTTGTTTTTTTTTCCTCTCTGTTGGTTTTTGCTGAGCCTTGAAGCGTGTGCATGTGAATAATGTCCAGCAATTGGCTTTGGAGTTGGGCGGCGCTGTGAGTTGGTGTTTGGGGCTTTATTGCAGGGCACACAGCTTGTGTGTGTGTGTGTGTGTGTGTGTGTGCTTGTGTGTGTGTTTGTGGCACGACGTCATTTATTTATGACGGCAACGAACGCGCGCGCGAATTTTTATGAAGACCGTAACACAAAAATTAGTAAATTTCGCCTGGCGGTGATTTCGTCAAACATTTATTTATATGTATATATATATATATATGTATATATTTTTTTGATGACTGCTCCCTGACATTTCATAAACATTCGCTTATTGATTATTTACCATACACTTGTTTCATTTTCTGTACTCTTCTTCTGTCTCCAACCTGTTTGTATTTGCAGAAAGCTTACGCGATTATTTTGGCCGCTACGGCGACATCTCTGAGGCAATGGTCATGAAGGATCCCACAACCCGCAGATCCAGGTGAGTTATTCAAATAAAGTAATCTAATTAAGAGGCAATGTGGCTCGAACCGTTTATTTATATGCCTAACTTGAAGGTTACAGCAAATGCGTTCAGTAAATTACAAGCAAAGGGGCCTTTCGACTGACTTACTAAAGAAAAAAACAAGAAATCTTTTGATAATAGCTCGATAATATATCATATGGAAATGCGCCCTCTTTTTAAATAAGTTTATAACAACTTCCTGTACTCGATGGGCACAGGTTAAAAGATAATAATATCATTCATGTGTGCTCAATGAATTCAGATGGGACTGATAGAAACAAAGTAGATGCACTGTGTTAATTCCTGGTAAGACTGCAAACCGAGTTTCTATCGAATCGCTTGGAAGTCGAATTTTCATTATTTTTGCACAGCTCAAGGCAGATTTCAATCGAACCTTAACTTGAACCAAAACATGTCCGTATACCTGTATATTTATTAAGAACCTGCCGCTTCCATATACAACATACTTTTCTTGATTAATTACAATTTTGAAATAATACATGAAGAAACAGAACTTGAGATCAAAGTCCGGTCAAGACGTATCTGGGAACAATTAACCTTTAGCTTTAGCTAACTCGCAGCTCACTTGTGACATGTATACTCTTTCGTTTGTGGCTAACAATATGAGCAGGTCGGATCGATTTCTATGCCCGCATTTTCAAATTAAAATCATATATTGAAACTCTTTTGTAATTGTTTTCATGGCAGGCGTTTGGCTCTGACCAGACTTTGATTATTATTCTGGTAAATCTCGGTGACCGCGTTTACCTTTCCAGTTCTGTTATTGACGCTTGTTAGGGCTGTGCTCTTTCGACTACAATTTCAATAGCTGTTGCTCTTGTTGTTGTTCTGGCTGCTGTTGTTGTTGTTCTGGCTGCTGTTGTTGTTGTTGTTTATGGCCATGCGCGACTGCATCCATTTCCAAATTTGAACAGTTTGGTTAACCGCTAATTGGTTTTCATTTTCATTGATTTTCCTTCTTGTTGTTATTTTTTTTTTTGCCTGCTTTACATTCCACATGATAAATGTGTGTGTGCTGTTTTTCCTCTTTTCCATAACCTACCCACCCACACTCCCCTTCTCTTGTTGTTGTGCGTGTGCTGTGTGTTTATTCGAATCGTTTGTCATTTGTTGCGGTTTCGATCAGCTTTTGGCTGGCTGCATCAACCACCTGCACCACAGCCACACTTAACCGCCCTCTGAGCCTCGCCTGCTGCCATTTTTTGAGCTTATTCAAAAATGCTTAACGTAAATTAGCTGGTTTCTGCGGACGCGCTGAATAATGAGCGGCATTTAATGAGTCAATTGCAATTGAATTTGAGCTGCGATAATCAGCTGCAACATCAGAAGCAACAAAATTGACAGCTTATAAACTAGCGCGTAACTTAATACGCGTGTGTGTGTGTGTGTGTCTGTGAGTGTGGGTGGGTGTGCGTGCCAGTCAAATTAATTTTATGACGGCCCACGCGGCGTATGCGCAATGTTAACACACGCTTAGCGCAGCGCGTGCCAAAAGTTAAGCGCATTCTTTTTTGCCCCACGCTAAAGAACTGGCACACTGGTATGCCAAATTGGGAAATATATCCTTGTTTTAATTGAATTTCGTCTAATGTGCTGTGAAAGTGTGCTGAAAGGGGTCGCAGATAGACGTCGACTCAGGTTAACAAGCGCCACGCTGCTGGGCAAACTTTATGCCACATTCTACAGTGAGTCCTGCTGCTGCTGCTGCCACGTGACCTTTGCCTTTGTGCATGTCACGTTGGCTGGCAAAATTTTTATGAACTGCGTGCAGCAGCAGCAGCAGCAGCAGCGACAACAGTAACAACTCCACTGATTCCAACAGGCAGGCTGCTGTCTTAACAGCAGGCAGCAGCAAGGACCTGCGCCTGGGACAATAAGGCAGAGCCAGAGCCAGCGCCAACATCAGCGGGTCGTTGAAAATCTAAGGCCCTGGTAGTTGTAAATTCCACAGCTCTATTTGTTGCCGTTGCCGTTGTCGTTGATGTCGTTGATGTCGCTGCTGATATCATCGTGTCGGGGATTTCTAGCAAAATTTAATAAAAACTTTATGTCGCTTAAAAGAATGTTTATGGAAATTTTTCACTTAAACTTGCGCAAAGTAATAAATGTAAACAGAATTCCTGAAAAGGTGCGACAACAAAATTCAAACTGAGACCAACAGCAGCAGCAACAAGCTGCACACAAACTTGTTGTTGTTTCCGTTGTTGTTGCTGGTGGCGCCGCAGCGAGAGTCAACAGTGCGGTTAATAAATATGCGCACCAGGGCAGACATTTTACCGCTGGCAAAGAAAGCATTGCATGCGCGTAGGCGACATGCCCCTCCCCATCCCTCTCTCTCTCACTCTCTCTCACTCTGTGTGTGCCTGTTGCTGGTTTAGATACTTCAACCAGCCAGATAGATTGAGATACATGCCCCACACACAGCTCTCGTGCCTTGTGCAAATGAGATTGTATATTACAATAAAATGGAGTGAAGTACAAATTAGAAAACTTGCAAATAAATTTAAAAGCACAAAATGAAAACAGCAAAAAACAACAGAAAATAAAAAAGAAAAAAAAAAAAAAACAAAATAAAAAATAGAATAAATAACAACAGGAAAAAATGAGAGCGCACAGAACCAAAGCAAATGGCAAACAAAACACATTCAGCAAAGCATTAGATCGCTTGGGTTCAGGGGGTTGGGTCGGGGGTTGGGTAAAATTGTGTACAAAAAATAGCAAAACTTTTGCAACTTAAGCGAGTTTCTGTTGCTGTTGTTGTTGTTGTTGTTGTTGTTGTTGCGGCAGCAGAGACAAAGCGGGTCGCTGAAGTGCAACAACAATAAAAATTGAGTAAAATGGCAAATGGCAGCTGTAGAAGCGAGCGCGTACGCCCCCGCTGCCACCCACCTTCCACCACCCGCTCAGTACTATAAGTAAATCCAAACAATTTATTGTTGTACTTTTAACATTCTTCTCATGAGCATTGTTGTTGTTGCTGCTGCTGCCGCTGCTGCTGCTGCTGCCGCTGTTGTTGCCTGCCACCATTGAAGCAAACATAAGCGACTTTTCAATGAGTTTCGAAAGTTATTGAAACATAAATTATATCGCAGGGCGCACGCACGCCCAAAGCAGACCCGGAGCCGCAGCCGGAGACGGAGACGGGCTAGCCGGAGCCAACAACCACAAGCAAGCCCACAAATACGCCTGTAGCAACGGCAACAACAGCAGCAACAACAACAAATATAACACCCCTTTATGAGTGCCAGGCTTGTGAGCGGCGGGCGGTGGGCGGGGTGCGAGCACGCCTGCCGTTTGCCACCTCACGCATTTTTGTGCATGGCAATTAAGTTAAATATTTCTTTCTCTTGTTAATGTTTATGCCCTTGCTTTTCGGGGGCAAGGCACTTAACATTTGTCATGCAGCTTGCAACGCGAGCATAACAAACTACCTGCCGAAAAGTAGAAAGGCGTGAATACAATTTACTTTTAAATGGTTCACTTTCGTGGAGGCGTGTGGGGCGTGGCTTAAGCTGACGTTCTTTAAATGCACCTGCAGTTGAGTTAAATATTAATAAAACTGGCTTTAAATTATAATCTGTTGTTTTTGGATACCAAAAGGAAATTTTGCAGGGCTGCAAACGCCAAGAAAAGGGTGGTCGGTGGTTCAAACCCATTTTCTGCTTTCAATTTCAAATCGTGTAAGTGTATTTCAACTATATTTGACCGGGCTTAAACTATAAGCTTTGTGAACTATTCTTTAAATGTTAATGAACCAATTTAATTCGAAAAATGCAATTGCCCGTTCTACTGAAAATATAGCATATTTTATATATTTTCTTATTGAATTCGCGGGTTACATTTGAAGTCTGCTGCAAATTGTCATCTATTAAATATAGTTTGATAAATGCAATGATTGAAGTCTGAGGCTTTATACTTTGACGCTGGATCTAGTTCAAAAGCATATTATTTTAAAACAAAAATTAAATGGTTTAATTCAGGGTTCTATTTCGTAGTTATTTGGGCAACTATTAAAGGTTTGGTAGGTAAAATACAAAAAAGGTTCTAATTGCAATTTTGACCCGCCTTAGTTCAAACCCTGTCTTGCTTGAGACGCACCTTCCAAGAAAGTTTTATTGTCACATTATATTACACAAGTTCTCTTGATGTGAGAACTCGGCAATCCGTTTTATACATGTATCCTTATTCTTGCTGTCAGGCAGAGTATTTAATTGTCAGCTATATACGCAACAGCTGCTCGTTGCCTTTCGTTTTTTTTCCCTACACGCGCCAAAAATGTTATTTTTATTTATTTGCTGGACGCTCAGCGCATGTTTTATATATGTATATATATATATATGTGTGTGTATATAAATTTACCTGGATCTGTATCGGAGACGGCGATATAACTCAGAACCACATTTGGTGCACAATGCGGCACATAAATTTAATGGGTCTTAGATAAGAAGTTCTTGTCGAAGAGTAAACACAACACGAAACACTTTGAAAACCATTAACTGTTTAGAATCTATAAACATTTGCCGTCTGCTATGCTTTCTAGAGCTTTGATGCGAATAAATGTGTCTGTTTATTTCTGAGTGTGTGTGTGTGTGTGTGACTGAAGTGTTTTACATGAGGTACAGATTGCAGATGTTAAAGTTAAAACTCATAAATAGATGAGTTGAAATCCCATAGTGGAGACTTGAGATAAAAGCTAAGTAAGTTGTGTTTGGGACTAAAACAAAAATGTGAGAGCTTAAAGCTAACAGTGAGCTTTAAATTCAATTGATCTCACGAAAAACTCTTAATAGTAACAGCTTAAGATAACTTTGAGAGCTGATATGCAAAGGCTTTTAAAATGTAACGCAAATAGGTTGAATAGAGAGTAGAGATACAATCGAGCTATTGCTATACTTTCTTAGTTTCACATTTCCTCAGCCAGGGGAGCTTTTTGCAGCTTTCAGTTAAGCTGAGAT